ATATATATATATATATATATATATATATATATATATATATATATATATATATATATATATATATAATATATATAATATATAATAATTAAAATACATGTTAGTCTGCTCTTATTAAAATGACAGAGACCATTTAAAAAGATAAATACATTACTTTTAAAATGCTATAAATTATTTTTTACCTTTGAAATAATTGTTGTCTTTATATATATATATATATTTCTTTATTTTTGTTTGCCCACCCGAAATGTCACTTGGCCCACCCTAAAGTTCCAAGCTGGAGCCGGACCTGGGCTACAATGACTGACAGTGTTTACACACAGCGCGTGCTAGTAGGGGCGTGACGCTTTTTCTGGTGACGATGAGCCGATCTGCGAATCATAGCACATTATGTTAGCTGACCAATCAGAGCCTCTTGAGGGCAGACCTTTTAGAAGAACTAGGAAATATGACAGAGTTGTTCATGTTTGCTGAGTAGCTGTATATAATCAAAGTAAGATATGAAAAAATAACGTGATTTTCTATAAATATAGCATGAGCACACACTGCTTTGCATCTTATAAACACAACCAAGCCTGAAAAAATACACACTGGACCACCACTTTAAATTTGTGCTTAAAATTCACACAAAAATAGTAATGCATTAATTATATATTAATGATGGTTATAATTAAAAACAGCAGTTTTCTGCCTGCGGATGTTGCCGGGTTTGTCAGGCAGTGTTCTCCTGAATCAGCTGTTGTTCAGACAGGGACCGGTCTGCATCTCCTTCATTAGTTCTCCAGTGACGTCTGCGCTCGCGGTGTGTGTTTTTCTGCCGTCTCTCGGGCTCAGATCTCCTGTTTTCACACTCACGAGAGATGCTATTCGGGTGATCTTTCCACCCCAGAGTTCTGCGGCTAATAAAGCTTCATTAGTCCACACCGACACAAACAACACGCTGGAGCGGTGTAAAGTGAGACGGATTTCCTCCCGTTTCCCTCAATAATAGTGTGTGTTTGATCCGCTGTGTGTGAGGAAGGCCGCTGGACGCCCGCCAGCGCCCGAATTCCTCTCTTATTGAAAACTCTGAAAGAATCTGGGGGAATTTTCCATGGAGGGAATTAATTTTTTTGTTCGGTGTGAGTGAGGGGTTTGTGGAAAAGCAGGAGCTGTTGTTCGCTCGGCTCGGTGTGTGCTTTTTTTCCACAACAAGAGGGTTTGTTTTCTCCTAGCGTCTGCTCTGGGAGCATGGTGGAGTTTTTCTGCGATTTCCCAGAGCGCCGCTCGCTGTTTTTCAGCTTCAGGAGAGTAAATGAGCCACTCTTCACCAGCAGAGGCGCTACACTCACTGTCTTTATATGAGCATCACCGTAAGATAGCATTAGTGAAATATTAATATAAATAAATAAACTCTGAGGATTTTAGAGGGTGGCGAGGTGGCTTAGTGGTTAGCACCGTGGCCTCACAGCAAGAAAGTTGCTGGTTTGAGTCTCGGCTGGGTCAGTTGGCATTTCTGTATGGAGTTTGCATGTTCTCCCCGTGTTGACATGGGTTTCCTCAGTGTTCTCCGGTTTCCCCCACAGTCCAAGCATGCGCTATCGGGGAATTGATGCATTAAATTGACCACTATAGTATATGTGTGTGTGTGAGTGGGTGTTTCCCAGGACTGGGTTGCAGCTGGAAGAGCATCCGCTGTGTGAAACATATGCTGGAATTGTTGGCGGTTCATTCCACTGTGGTGACCCCTGATAAATGAGACTAAGCCGAAGGAAAATGAATGATTGAATGTAAAGTTTTTAGATTCCAGTTTTTTTAATTATTGCATCTAAGGGTGCTTTCACACCTAGAGTTTTTGTTTTGAAACTCGTCTCGTTTACCCAGTTAGCGCGGTTCGTTTGGCAGATGTGCATATGGCATATTCAGCAATCACGCTCAGATCCGCGCCAAAACAACAACACAAATCGCTTAGAGATCGCCTGAATGAGGTGGTCTCGGCTCGATTGAAACGAACTCTGGAGTGGATCGATTGTAGTGAGAAAGCGATACGATCTGAGCCCGGCTTTATCACAGAGTTTTATGGATATGTACAGGTAATAGGCATACGGCTATATGAAGAGGGAGTTATGAGTAAGGCAGGATGTCATTCCTACCGGTAATTGTGTGTTTTGTGTAAAATACAAAAGTGAAAGCATGAACTATTAACGAGAGCTGTTCATCCATTAGGTAAATTGACCGAACAGCAGTAGTTATTTCTCTCTATAATGTAAATCCTATAATGCATAAGCCAACAGCTATGCAGGAGAAAGTCTTACCTCTGCTCTATATTTAGTGACGACGTCTGAGAGTGTCACCATTCAGAATTAAACCGCAGATTTTCCCTTATAATGTCTTATTGCTCATAGTCACAAATTAATAATAAAAATAATAATGAAAAAACAAACAATAATCCAATTCTGTTTGGACTTAAAAATAAGTAAAAAAAAAAAAAAAAGTTTTGACATTTAAACATAAGTAATAATTTTACACTGAAAATAAATGTCAATAAAGAAAATAATAATTTAAATAAATAAATAAAATGTAAATAAATAAATGTAAAATAAATTAGATAATTTTAAATAAATTAAATAAAATGAATTAAAATAAATAAATAAAATGTTAATAAATGAATATCATTTTTTAATAAATGAAAATAAACAAATAAATACAATTTTAATAAATTAATAAAAAATAAATGAAAATAAATTAAATTCAAATAAATAAAAATATAAATAAATACAATTTAAGTAAATGAATTTAAAATAAATTAATAAATACATTTAAAATAAAAAATAATTAATAAATTAATTAAAAAATAAATAAATACAATTAAAATAAAAAAATAATAAATGAAAAAATAAATGAAAAAATAAATAAGTAGTATTTGTCTAATGTAAACCAAAGTTACATAATAGCTAATTATTTCCCTTTTACAGAGAAAAAATGTGATCAAAGGCTGCTGAACCTCTGTCTGAAAGGCACTTTTGATCAACTATATACCTAAATTGTTGTTTTTCATTTTTTATTTTTACATTTTGTATTTTTTTCTCAGTGTAGGGCACTCCTGGCCTTCTTTCAACTAGTAGGTGCGTGTGGAAAGCACGAGTCCGTCGCTCCATATATGCAAGCCACGTGTCTCCATTGAAAATAACGAACTTGCGCGTGCAAAAGACGCAATATGTGACCGGCCCTTAGTTAATAACCTCAGCCATAGTTAATCCAGTGTGCATGGTGTACAAGCTCTACAAGACTGTGCATGGTGTACAAGCTCTACAAGACAAGCACTCGGCATAACTTTAAGTTGCAGCAGTTTTGTTTCATGCAGAAGCACGGTGTTGAGAAGCCTTTACCATTAATTAACCATGACGAATTAAAGCGCAATAATAGTGAAACCGGTTATTTATTGCATCCCTAAGTGTGGTGTGTATGTTTGAGAGTAAGTCAATAAATTAAATGTAATGTTTCTCTTGTGTGTGTGTGTGTGTGTGTGTGTTTAGGGTCACCTGGTGCCGTCAGATGAGATCACGGTGTTCTACCGCTGTCAGCCGGCTGGTGAATATCTGCATCAGGTGATTGGGCACACACAGACTTCATCCTGGCCACCACTAAAGCTCCGCTCAGAGCGTACCCCGTGTGTCCCAACGCCAGCGTCATCGTGCAGGAGAACACACAGGTAACAGAACACACAATCACAGATCAGTGTGTGTGCTTTAGGATTCATCAAGGGCTGGACGATATTAGATAAAGCTGACAGTGCCGTATTTTGTTTGTCGTGATGCGAGGATGAGTTCAGCTGATGATCGGAATCGATCTGTTTAGAAAGATCTTATTAATTCAACTTGTCTCTGTGTGTGTGTGTGCGCGCGGACTTGTCCGTGCGTCTGTGTGTCTGCATGTGTGCATGTTTGTGTGTGCATGTATGCGTGTGTGTGCTTGTGCGTTTGTGTGTGGTTGCATCCGTGTGTGCTTGTCTGTATGCATGTGTGTCTGGATAGGTTTGTGCATATGTGTACATGCATGCGTGTCTGTGTGTGTGATTGCATCTGTGTGTGCGTTCGTATGTGCCTGTCTATATGTATGTGTGTGTCTGTATGTGTTTGTGTGTGTCTGTACATGCATGCGTGTCTGTGTGTATGTGTGCATGTCTATATGTATGTGTTTGTGCGTACATGCATGCATGTGTGTGTGTGTGTGCATGGATGTATGTTTTGTTTGTGTGTGTAAATGTGTTTGTGTCTGTATGTGTGCATGCATTTATGTGTTTGTGTGCATGTTTGTGTGTGTGTATGCATGTGTGTGCATGTGTGTTGTTGCATCTGTGTGTGCATGTCTATATGTATGTGTCTATATGTGTTTGTGCGTATGTGTGTATATGCACATCGGCATGTGTGTGTGTGTGTATGTTTATGTGCCTGCATGTGTGTGTTTTCTCTATGTATGTGTGTACTTATGTGTTTGTGCATGTCTCTATGCATACTTGTGTGCGCGTGCGTGCGTGTGTATGTGTGTAAGTGTAAATTTGTGTGATTTTGTGTGTACTTGTGCATGTGTGTGTGTGTGTGTGTGTGTGTGTGCACATGCATGCGCCTGTATGTTTGTGTATATGTGTGTGTAGATATGTGCATGTGTGTGTTCGTGCATTCATTCATTCATTCATGCGTGCGTTGTCGTGTGTGTGTGTTTCAGCTGAAGGGCTCAGATCTGGAGTTGACTATCGTGCGAGGCTCCTCCTCTTCCTCCGTCTGCAGGGCTCCTGTGAGCGGCTCGGCGTGTGCGTTTGTGAACCTCAGAGTGTCGCTCAAAGATAAACAGCAGGGTACGAGACGCTACACACACACACACACACACACACACACACACACACACACACACACACAAACACACACACACACAAACACACCTGCAGGATCTGATCTGCAGCTCATCTTCTGTGTGTTCTGCTGTCAGACGGTGTGGTTCTGCTGGAGAACCCCAAGGGAGACAACAGACTGGACCTGGAGCAGCTGAAGAGGATCTGCTGCAGTGTGTTCGGCCTCAACGGAGCTCCAGTCTCCATATTCAACGGCAAGACAGGTGAGAGCTCCAAATATAACAGTGGAGCCTGTTCACATGTGTGTGTGTGTGTTTCTCCGCAGCAGAAGTTGTCATAGTTGGTGGGAGAGCACAACAGATCATTCATTTACAATCCTATTGCTGAAATAATGACAGAAAAATTTCACAAGGGTCTTATGAAGACTTTCAGAAAGAGGAAAACAATGGTGTAAGACCGATAACTAGGGGTGTAACGGATCACGGTTGATCTGTGATTCATATGATTAATACATATTTTTACTTGTAGATTAATCCTAAACTTGTAATGATTGCAGAGAGATCGCCTCCTCTTTTTTTTAAAAGCAGCCAATAGCTGTTTATTTCATCATCGCTCAGCCAGTAAGAGTGCTTGAGCTCAGGTGAATCAAATGTCTTGAAGGGGGCGGGGCATGTCAGACACTAGAGAGCATTTGATTGGTCAGAAGATTTGATGAGACACTAAAGTATGACGTGACATAAATAAAAACCATAGATATATACATTAGATTTCGCCTGGCCTATTGTTGTCTATTGGACGGAATGCGTCAATAGTGCCGCCATCTTGGTACAGGGTAGCGCTCCTTTGAAATGAATGCGGGACCAAGGTACAGTGGAGGACTGTGGCCATCCAAAGCCAGAGATATACACATATACTCTTATATCTACGAGTCGGGAGTTTCCTGGATG